GTGGGGGTGGGGTGGGGAGGGTGGGCAGAATGTGAGCTTGCAGAGAGTCGGGGGTAGTAGGGAAGGTAAGAGTGGATATGATAAATATAGACTTCTATTTCAGGAACAGTAGCTACAAAGGGGGAGATACAGGAAGCCTGATGGAGGATGGGCTGGAGTCTTACCTTTCCAGGTAGCAAAGACTTGTGCAGGTTAATGTGCTGACTCAGGTGAGACCCACAGGTTAAAGAGAGGAGAGAGGAGAGAAGTATGCATACATTTTGTATGGGGCACAAAATGAAGTGACTAGGACTCCTGCCCTCAGGGAACTGACAATCCATCATGGTAGTTGATATTCACATAAAGAAGAAAAATGGGGGCCAATTTCAGAGTGCCGAAAGCACTCAGTCTGTGAAGTGCAGGGAGGGCTGGAGGAGGAAATCCAGGAGCTGTAGTTCTGAGGACAGAATCATTCTACTCTCAAGCTGTAAAGGGCCCTGGCAATCATTTAGTCTAATGCTCTCAATTTACAGGTCTGAGGGGACTGAGCAACTTCACTAAGGACACACAGCTGGTTAAGACTGGGATGGGATCAGAAATCAAGCTCCCTGCTCTTACCTGATGCTGATCCCCCCCCATCACACTGCTTCTCCACAGAACGCCCCGCAGGGGAGTTGGACACATGAGCCCACGATGAAGAACTGCAGGCCGCACTCACTGAAGGCGCCAGACACTCGTTTGAAGGCGCCTGCAAAATCCCCTAATGAAAGTGTTCTTCCCCAACTAAACTCCCCAAACTCTTTATCTCTGCAGCTTTACGACCAGTATTATACTGAAGACTTGACTCTTGGTTTCCTTGGGCTGCTGAGAGAATTAGCTCAGTCTGTGACCTGAGACTACCCAGAAGGCTCAGGAACACAGTAGTGGTGGTATAGTCATGCGCACACACGAAGTTTTGGTCAACAGATCACATAAACTAGAGTCGTCCTGTAAGATTGTAATGGAGCTGAACAGCTCATTGCTTAGTGACCTCGTAGCCATCAGAACATCTTAGTGTAACGCATTCCTCGCATGTTTGTGGTGATGCTGATGTAAACAAACCTACTGCACTGCCGGTCTGATAAAAGTATAGCACATACAACTATGTGCAGCATACTACTTGATCATCACAATAAATGACTAATGTTACTGGCTATTGTACGATACTTTTTACTATCATGTTAGAGCAAGCATGTCAAACTCAAAGGCTAACATGGGCCAAATAAACGAGGTATGTGGCGCGCGGGCTGTGAGTTTGACATGCTTGTGTTAGAGTGTTCTCTTTCTACTTATTAAAAATGTTTGCTGTAACACTGTATGCCCTGCTATGCTGGCAGCAGCCTCATACATATTCTGTGTACTGTGTCTCTTGATTGCATCATTCGGTCTTGTGCTTGATTGAATCTCATGTTGTCTTGCACTGTAACATGCTGTACAGGCTGGTAGCCTAGAAGCGACAGACTATATACCATACAGTAGTCTGGGGGTGTGGTAGGCTATATCATCCAGATTTGTCTATGATGTTCACACAACCATGAAACTGCCTAATGATGCATTTCTCAGATCGTATCCCAGTTGTTAAGGGGCAATGATGATGACAAATCAGCTACTGCCACTGAGGACTTGAACTTTGTTTTGGTCTTTCCTAGGCCAAGAGGGGGTGAAAGTCAACTTCACAGGGATTGCAACTGTCAGACCCTGGTGAATTCTGAGTGGGTAGTCACCATACTTCAGGTATGTTCTTAGATAATATATGTAAAACACCATGACCTTCTTGGAGAGAGGTGTTCAATCAGTTCTGTATTAAGAATGGCTCATTATCATGAACAGTTCATGTGAGTTATAAATTTCTGATCAGATACAGGATGTAAATGTCAAGGAAGACAAAAAATGGTTTGGAGGAGTCCTTCTCATAATGTTTCACTTCCTCGAAATCTCATGACTCCAAAAACTGTTGGGAGATTTACTGAATGGAGTACAGAAGTTACTGTAAAGGATCAGGCATTCTAGTTTCAAGTTTCTAGTTATAACAGAGGGACCTTTCCCTAAACAGGAAATGGTTTCAAAGATTTGATCCAGTGTGACACCAGGACTACTCATCCATTCCCTTATTTCTGCTTTTACCAGACACTCTTAGCTGCTGGGAATACAGCGGAAGAGAGTTTTCCTAAC